AAAAATCTATAAATTTATTTATATTCTCTATATTTAAAATGCGTTAAACAAGGATTACTAAATGAGCTCAAAGATTACCTAATCACACTTTTACAAGTTCGTGAAGTACAAATAAATGAAAATGCACGTTATTACTATGTCAATTTAAATTATAACTCAAAATTTCCATAAGCATTCCTCTCAATGACATTCAAAAAGCCAGATATTGTGAACTCATACTTTTAAATTCATCTACATTAAAATGACATATGTCACATTGTCTTAATTTATTGTTTCGCAAATTGCTTCAGTATTGGAAGCTAAAATTTGAGGTCATTGTAGAAGAGTATATTACTAGAAAATAAAATTACAAAACTTTTTAAAATGAGTTCTACATTTTTTTTAATAAGATGATTTTTTTTTTTTTTTTAAATACATGACCCGACCAGGTCACCGGATTTTGACTGGATTTGATGCATGGCTGGTCTGATGACCGGTTCGCCAGGTTCCAGGTCGACCCGACCGGGTTTCACAACACTGCATAATACCCTTCCTCACGAAGAATACATTGTTAATATATTAAAGGCCCATTCGGATTGGCTTCCAAAAAAAGTGTTTTTATGCCTTGTTCATTTTAGAAGTGCTTTTTACAAAAGCTAAAGTTATTTATATTTTTTTTTAAAATATTTTGTTTTTGAACAAAATATTTGATTTATGACTTTTGCTTTTTTAGAAGCTAAAATGTTTAACTTCTAAAAAAAGTAGATTTTTGATTTTTTTTGTGACTTATGTTTTTCTTTTTAAAACAAGCATCCAAACAAACTTTATAATGAGAAGGATTTTTTTCTAAAAAAAAACAACTTTTAGGTTTGCTATAGAGATTCTTTTAGAAATCCTGGGAATGTGGGGTGAGACAATTTTTTTTGGTATGAGAAAACTGAAAATATTCCCGGAAAACTTCTTTTTCCATCATTTCAATTATAATTACAGAATCCCAAACGAAAATACCATATGATATATGGTATTTTTATTTTCCCATAACATCAGTATAATTAACCCAACATTCTCCGAAAAATTTTGAACTTATAAAACACCTTTTCTGTAACTTACCTGGGAAAAAAATTTCTCACCATATTTTCGAAAATCTTTTTTTTCCCGATAAAACATATATTTCCTCTACCAAATGCCCCCTCAGAGAAGAAAAAAAAACTATCCAAACATGCCCTAAAAAAATATGGTTGAAAGTAAGATCATGTTGTCTTCATTAAAACAAAAATCGGGTTGAAGGCTTACGAAAATAATTTTGTTTGGTGGTCCACTCGTAAATGGATGTGTATGTCATGTCAGTTAGCCCACACACGTTTAACTGGGCTTACAACATCAACATGGGATCTGTTATCTATGTGTGCTGACAGTGCTGTGCTGCCTAGTTTTCTTTGTTGATAAGTAAAAAAAAAAAAAAACAAACAGAAATAAAATAAGACATGAATCACGTCCAAGTCATTAGCATGTCGGGTTTTATTTATATCACAAGCTTAACAGGTTAGAATAATTTCTTTGTTTGCAAGTATGTGGCGCTGGCAACCCATGATTTTGACCGAGTATAACTTACCACCAACCGCATTTGTTCTCTCTTCCTCGAATTTTGCTTAGCAAATCAAATGTCCTTGCATGTTTATGTAATTACTAATTAAATACATAGTAAAAAAAAAACCCATAGATTTTGTTTCGGGGGTAAAATTTTGAGTTTTTTGCAAACCTTTCCGTAGCGCTGGTAATAATAAAGCGAAGAAGACCGTTTTTATTAAAGCGTATGCATAGCCACATTCTCAAGGAACTCAAGGATCATTTGGTTTGGATGTGTTAGTTTGTAACTAAAGCAACCCACCAACCTATACTCTACCTAATATCAAATGGCTGGGCTGGGGTTGGTGTCATGAAAATTCTGATTGGTTTCTTGTTTTCTTATTTCCGCAATGTAGTAAAGAAAAAATCTTTTGTTATTTGCAGCAAATAATTTAATATACCATCAAAACTTGTTGCTGGTGACGCATGTGTAAAACCTGCCATCGAGATAAAGGGCTGTAGATAGATCACTGTCACTCTCATCAATAATTGATACAAAAATTGCAGTATAGCAAAAAGCAAATATAAGAACAGTAGATAAATCACAACGTGTCGTTTGGAAAAGTCATAATTGTATTGTAGTTGATGATGATTTTAATGGGACAGGTATAGGGCTAATAATAAATAAGAAATGTTTCTCCCACTCAAAACTGTTTCGAAATTAATTTTTAGTGTAGAACAGTTAAAGTCGTAGGTCAAAGTGACAGGACTGGGTGCCATGTAGACAGTCCATGGAGTCTCGTTCAGTATACTTCTGCACCCGTCAAGGTCAGTGACGCGTTCAGTGTCCAACTCCCTCCATCTCAATTCCTTCACACTCGTTTCTCTCTCCCTCTTCGTTTCTGCCTTCTTTCTCGGCAAAACGACCATAGTAATAACAAATAAGAAATGTTTCTCTCACTCAAAGCTGTTTCGAAATCAATTTCCAGTGTAGAGCAGTTAAAGTCGTAGGTCAAAGTGACGGGAATGGTACCATCACCTTGAATGGCGGGACTGGGTTACAAAAAAACAGGCATTTTGCGGCGGTTCATTTTTGGTATACGCGACGGTTACAACCGCCTCTAAATGCATTTTTGCAATTAGGGGCGGTTGTAACCGTCGCGTATACCAAAAATGAACCGCCGCTAAATGCCCGTTTTTTTGTAGTGGCGCAGCCCATGGAGTCCCGTTCAGTATACTTCTGCACCCGTCAAGGTCAGTGACGTGTTCAGTTTCCAACTCCCTCTATCTCAATTCCTTCACACTGGTTTCTCTCTCCCTCTTCGTTTCTGCCTTCTTTCTCTCCATCTTCATTTGTCATTCATTTTGATCATTTGTCTCTCCCTCTCCGTGTACAAGTAAATTGAACATTACGAGTCTTCAATTAAAAACAAATTATGCAAATGTTCATCACAACAGTAATTATTAAATAATTCAAAAACCATTTACATTAATTCAAACGTAATTACTTAATTTTCCAACTAGGTTTCTACATTAAGTCACTTAATTAGAAAAGATACATATTATGTTAAACACAAATTAAAAATCATAAAATATTATATTTTAATTATGTCATTGCAATTATGCTTAATAGGCATGTGTAAAACATTAATTACGTCACAAAAATATTTTGATTTTCGTTTCAAAACGACGTCGTTTTGGGCTCACTATAAATAAGTTATCTACATTGACGGTAGAAAAAGCGAACCCATTTTATAATTACAATTATTAGCCTTAAAATTATTGATATCCTTTTAGATCCACTAATTGTTTATTTACTGTTTTGTTGGGTGAGCAGATTAATCATTAATGAAACGTTAAGAAAAAATACATAAACAGATTAATTTAGTAATTATAAGTTATGAAAGCTAAAGAAAAAAACCTACTTAGTGTTACACTATTTAATTGTTAATAAGAATATTAAACAGACATTATAGCTTAGTGATTTAATTAAATATTTATAATATTTTATTAAAAATCAGGGACGAAGAACCAAATTTAGTTAAATATTTAATGTAATTATTAAACATTAAGGTAGCGTAATGTTTTACACATGCCTATTAAGCATAATTGTAATGACATAATTAAAATATAAAATTTTATGATTTTTAATTTGTGTTTAACATAATATGTATCTTATTTAATTAAGTGACTTAATGTAGAAACCTAGTTGGAAAATTAAGTAATTACGTTTGAATTAATGTAAATAGTTTTTGAATTATTTAATAATTACTGTTGTGATGAACATTTGCATAATTTGTTTTTAATTGATGACTCGTAATGTTTAATTTACTTGTACACGGAGAGGGAGACACAAATGAAGGACAAATGAAGATGGAGAGAAAGAAGGCAGAAATGAAGAGGGAGAGGGAAACGAGTGTGAAGGAATTGAGATGGAGGGAGTTGGACACTGAACGCGTCACTGACCTTGACGGGTGCAGAAGTATACTGAACGGGACTCCATGGGCTGCCTACATGGCACCCAGTCCTGCCATTCAAGGTGACGGTACCATTCTCGTCACTTTGACCTACGACTTTAACTGCGCTCTACACTAAAAATTGATTTTGAAACATCTTTAAGTGGGAGAAACATTTCTTATTATTTATTATTACTATGATCGTTTTGCCGGTGAAATAGTGGCAAATAATCACACATCCTAGAAGGAAAAAGTTACGCCTAAAATACATACAAATATGGGAACCAATGGAGACACAACATAGTTGTTTGAACATAGGTATTTAACCGCTATAGCTTTAGAGATATTGACAGTTACTGTTTTCCCTCCTTTTCAATTAGCAGTATATCTCCTAATATTAGAAAAGCATTACAAGTCACACGAACGTCATGAATTAGGAAAAAGATTTAAAAGAAAGGGAATTTCCATAACTGTGGTGAATGTGAGAAATGGAAACTGAATGAAATTGTAGGAATGGAGTACAATTATGATATGGGATACGAATTACAGCAAGAAAACAAACGAAAAAAAAGAAAAGAAAAAGACAAGAAGTTCCAATGTAAAACGTAGTTAATTAAGTTATATGTTCTCATATATTTATTACTTTTATCTAGCAAACGAAATTTCAATAATTCATTTGCGATATGTTTTGAGTTGCTTAGAATGTCGTTGTAGCCCTTTTATTAAACTGCAGGAAAACAACTAAGAAAGAGGGGAAGGAAATCAAATTAAAAAAGACTAGCTTATACCCTTGATCCCCGTTGACCTCAGGATCACCCTCCGTCTCTATTGGTGTGAGTGTGTGACCTCTCTCAATGTCCGTATTAGCAGTAAAATCGGATTTACCATAACGCTAATATCCGAACCCTATCCAATAGTTCTTCTCCACGTGTGAGCGTAGCTCTAGCGTAATAATACTAGCAATGGCGAAGCAAGAGCCTAATCTATAGGTCAGAGTCTATCTCTTATTCTTTTTCAATTAATTGTCCGAACTCAAAGATGTTAGAATAATTACAAAACAAAGAAAAAAGAACTAGCAAACTAGTTAATTCGTAAACCCAAAGGAATGTTGATGATTAAATCAAATCAGAGCACCACCAACCTAGAGCGACCACCATTTTCCACTTGCTCCTCCCTTTCCCTTCAAATCGCTATCTATCGCTGCAAACTACAAATCAAATCCCAACCTCAACGCAACTCACTGATATAATTGTAGTAGCTGTTCAACTCACAAACCTTACACACACACACACACATTTTCTGTTTGACTCCGTGTGACTCAGAAATGAAGCTCTTGGCGTTGCAGCAGAGCTACCTTAACCGCCGCACCAACAGCTTCAGAGGATCGCCGCAGTTGGATTCGTCCGGCGACGGCTCCGTCAAGTCGCCGGCGGCAATCTTCTGGCTCGTCCTCCACGGCGTTTGCTGTCTCATCAGTCTCGTCCTCGGCTTCCGCTTCTCTCGCCTCGTCTTCTTCTTCCTCTTCTCCACTTCCTCCACCAACCTCTACACCGTTCCGTTTCGCACCGGCGCCGAAATCACCGCTGCGTTGGACGTTCGTTCGAATCCCGTCGCCAACCGAACAACCGTCGTTGCCAGCTCCACCAGCAGGGTCGTGGTTGGGAGGCACGGGATCCGAATCCGGCCGTGGCCTCATCCGGATCCAGTCGAGGTGATGAAGGCGCACCGAATAATCGAGAGAGTTCAAAAGGAGCAGAGGGCGCTGTTTGGGGTCAAGAACCCTAGAACGGTGATTGTGATCACGCCAACGTATGTGCGCACGTTTCAAACGCTTCACTTGACCGGTGTGATGCACTCGCTGATGCTGGTGCCGTACGATCTGGTGTGGATCGTGGTGGAAGCCGGAGGAGTCACCAACGAGACTGCTTCCATTATTGCCAAGTCTGGTCTCAGAACCATCCACGTTGGCTTTCGTCAGCGAATGCCCAATTCATGGGAAGCTAGGCATAAACTCGAAGCTCGGATGCGGCTTCATGCTTTGAGGTTAACTTTTAGCTTCTTTCTTTTCCTTCATCTAAATTCCAATACCTGTTTTTTAGTTACTCAAGTCTAATTATAGAAACTAGAACTTTATGGAGTATCATTTGAGAGGGCACTATTTTTCCCACTAGTTAGTGCGTAAGACATGATGACTCTCTTTTCTCCCACCCTTTCTTCTTATTTCTTTTATATGTCGTCATTCTTACATGAAACATATGGTTAATTTTGCCATGTGGTGGGAACAGAATTGTGAGAAAAGAGAAGCTGGATGGAGTTGTGATGTTTGCTGATGATAGTAATATGCATAGCATGGAGCTGTTTGATGAAGCTCAAAGTGTGAAATGGATTGGTGCTGTTTCGGTTGGAATACTTGTTCATTCAGTTGATACAGATGAATCTTCATCCATGGTTGAAAGAGAGGGTGAGGAGGAAGCCACGCCAATGCCCGTGCAAGGTCCTGCTTGTAATGCTACCAATAAATTGATTGGGTGGCACACCTTCAATTCATTACGATATACAGGAAGAAGTGCTGTGTACATTGATGACCGGGCGCCTGTGTTGCCCAGAAAGCTTGAATGGTCTGGGTTTGTGTTGAATTCTAGGTTGCTTTGGAAGGATCTTGATGATAAGCCAGAGTGGATTAAGGATCTTGATGCACTAGATGAGGTTGGTGAGGAGATAGAGAGTCCACTGTCGTTGGTCAAGAGCACCTCTGTGGTAGAACCACTTGGGAATTGTGGACGGCAAGTTCTGCTTTGGTGGCTGCGGGTTGAAGCTCGCACAGACAGCAAATTCCCTGCTCAGTGAGTTCTCTCCTCTTGATTTTAGAAATTTTCATTTATAACACTCAAGTTTCATTTTCCAACTGATGTCAGTCTAACTTTTATGTCGGTTGTATTTATAACTGACACAATATTTTGCAGGAAAAATAGTTTCTGCACCACTTCTCCCCCCGCCCCTCCCTTCTCCTCCTCCTCCTCTCTCCTCTCTCCTCTCTCCAAAAAAGAAGAAGCTAGAAACCAAAAAACTAATGCCTGAAATTTGGATTGTTTGACAATTTAGAATATGTGTGAGATTTAAATGTGTTTGGTACAGCGGCAAACCCAAAGAATACTGAAAAATTACCATCTCTGTGGTTAATGTGAAACCTACTTTCATGCTATGCACATGAATATTGTATTAAGAATAGCTGCATACTAGCATTGATATTTGGGCATCATGTGTGATCTAGACTCATGTTCTAGGATGATTCATAGTGTCTCAGCTTAAGTAGTTCTACTGAAGCACTGGCTAAGGTGATCCGGGTTGGGCTGAGCTAATCAGAATGTAGCTGAGAAAGCAAACTGCTGCCAAATTGGGGCAGAATTGTTATAGACATCATATATTACTATATTTGTTAACCATCAACTGATGTGATCATCCCGGCTTGAAAAAACTCTCACATGGCATACATTCTCTAGGCAATAGCTATTTTGGAAGTGGGAAAATGAAAGACTCAATGTCAATGGGCACTAAGCATGCTTCCCTTCCCCTTTGTGATTGACTTATATAGGAGGATTATCTAAATGATAGTAACTACTTGAGTCTATGTAGGTGGTTGCCCTTGTGGGTTTACTAAATATAAGTTTTGTGATCGCATTGCATGGTGGAGGGAGGGTTACCGTTATAGTCACCCTGGTGGTTTAATTATCTGAACTATTTTGGGTGTAGATTGGAGACTTTCCAAATCATCAGTATCGGTTTGAACTGAAAGAACCAAAATGATCACAAGGAGGTTGGAGTGCAAGGAAGCTATAGTCTTTGTCTGCCTGGTTAATAAATATAATTGGATATAATGGTTGAGTTGGTGCTAGGGATTCCACTAGCACCAAGCTGCAGAAAAATAGGATTCATTGAAGTTCTTGTAGCACATATGAAATCAATAGTAATAACTTAAATCATAAATTACAGCTTAGTAGGCTTTTGCAATAGCTCCTCTGTAACAGGTGCCTTCATCTCTCTGAGGTGGTGATTTTCATTTCCCATTAGATGTCAGCATTTACATGACACACATGCCATGTAAGTTTCCACATTTAGATGGACTTGCTAGAATAAAGTCCAAAATCCAAATCACACCAAACTGTACATCCTGGTGATGTTAGATCGAAATTGTTGGTTAATATCTAATAGAACATACACTTTAGCCAGATCACTTGTCAATTACTTCCCAGAGTTTTTGTTGTGAATGTTTGGATTAGGATCTTTGCATCCTTATCCATAAAATATTTTTTTTACATTTAGGAACATGCCAAAGGATGGAAAATCTTAGCACAACGGTTGGTGTTGTCCGTATATGACCCGAATGCCATAGGTTTGAATGCAGGTTATCCTTTTTTATTTTAGGAAGATGCCAAAGGTTAACTTTAAGAATGGGGAAAGGGGTTTTGTGAAGTTACTTCCCCCATTGGCGCAGTCTCAGAACTTAACTTTTCAGGACATCTGCATGCAAGCAATTAGGGACCTTTATTTAAGTCTGCCTCCATGTTTTCCTTAGCTTCTTTTCTCCATCAAGTCAACTTTTGCTGATTGCAAATTTTCTGGCTTCTGAAATTTGCTCTTCCCCCAGAAACTAAAGTCATTCGTCAAATAAGTGGTATTTATATTTTTTTCTTCCCAAAAATTTCCTCTGAAAGTCATGGAATTTATGTCTGAGCTCGTATCAGTCAGCTTTTTGTGCTTGTAATTTGTGATGTGTCATCCAATAAATAGTGCATGGATTTATGTATTCTCAAAACTTAGCATAGTATTTATTAGCATGTTTTCTGTCCATATCCCTCTGACCATATGATGCTATTTCATGCAGATGGATGATCGACCCTCCTTTGGACATCACTGTCCCATCAAAACGCACTCCATGGCCCGATGCTCCTCCTGAGCTCCCATCTAATGAAAAAATGTTAATTGGCACTCAAGAGCAGCCGAGCAAACTCTCTACAAAGACTAAAACACCCAGATCCCGACGCAATAGAAGTAAGAGAAAGCGTGACACCAAAGTGATTGGTGTGCAAGTCTCTACGCATTCTGAAGAAAACTGAGATGGTAATAAGTACATCTGAGCAATTTACAGGCTTCTGGATACGAGAATACCGGCCTTCAGCATCAAGAGTTTCGATTGACCAAATGGAGAAGCTGATGTCTTACTGGATACATACATTGGCTGCGTAACTTTAATGGTGGGCCAACATACGTGCGTTCGAGTCTGATTTCACCCATTTTTTTACATTAATTTTTTTCCACTTCTTTTTCCATATATTACGTTCGCTTGAAAGATTAAAAGGTAATGTCGACTTAATTTTGCAACACTTGCTTCCTTGCAGGAAGCCTGTATTCAATTTTATTCGATGTTAATACATATTTTTCTCAATAGGATTATACAATTGTCTTTTATTTTTTCAGAGGCAGATTTCATTACTTACAGACTTCTATAGTAATCGAATCACAAATTTCAGAGGTTCTTGATTCAGCAAAACAATCTCACGCAGGCCTTACAAGGGCATCGACAAGAACTAAGGTAAGTCTGAAATACTTTTTAACACCACACCCCAGCCCGTGACGTGAACATTAAAACAAAACCAGAATCTATCCACCTCTTGGACTAGAGTTGGTATGCCAAAAAAATCAGAGGCATACACTAGCATTGAAGGAAGAGGCATTTATTTTTTGGTCTCCAAAGAATACTCTAAACATTGGATGATTCTCATTGGGCCACGGATACTCTGTTACGAATAAACTTCCAAAGAAACACTTTTCACCTCGGTTGTCACTTGTCAGTGGAGGCTTCGAAATAAAGACAAAGAGCTGGACCTCCAAAAGAAAGCCAGGCTTTAAGAATCTTGGTTTCAAATAAATTTTCAGTTCAGGTTGTTTTACTACTTCCAGCAGGCTAGCGTGTCCTTCTGTTTGGTACTGTTATTTTGGCCAGGTCCAACAAGACACAATGGTCCAGTGACTATCGTTTTCGACCCATCCCCGAGATAACTAGAAACACCCTTAAATGAGAAAAATAAATAAAAATAAAGCCAAACAAGCAAACAAAGGATAATTACACCCTTGGGGACAATAGCGGACTTAGAAGTTTTTTTTTTAATGTATGCACACTTAGAATAAAAGAATAAAGTAAAAAAAAATTAAAGAAAATTTTAAATATATTAAAATACAAAAGAATATATATAAAAAAAACTTTAACTTAATATAAAAAAAGTAATCAAGAGTCAACTAAATTGTTAAATAGAACATTTTGTGTTCTCAACAAAAATTACGGGCTTCAATTTAATCTCTTAGGGAAAAAAAGAAGTCTATTCGTGATCTTTCAGAATTTAAAAATAGATCCAAATAATCAAAATCATGGTCTCTGAAATTCAAAAAGATCCACATTAATCCCTCAAAATCACGAGTCGATTTTTTTTTAAGATATTAAATTAGATCCAGTAATTTTTGTTCATGACCCAAAAATATATATATATATATGGGTTTTATAAGAGTTATGTTATAGGAAACGTAATTGTGTTATGTTATAGAGATTTGTTTTCTGTGCCTTAGTTTTTTTTTTTGCTTCAAAAAATGCGGGCCCCACAAAATGTTGTGTATATAGAAAATTTTTGTGTGTCATGTTACATAATGAATGCAAACCCCTATATATATATATTTTTTTTTTCTCCAAAAAAATTTATGTGTGCACTTGCACACACTAAAACATACGTAGGTCCGCCACTGCTTGGGGATAAGCACCTCGCTAGGCTTTTTCATTGGTATTTCGATAACTATTACAATAACTCAAACTTGTTTCTGTAAGTATAAAAGATACCCTGCAGGTAGGATTCGTATCACTCTATTGCATTAAGATACCACCTCTAACATGGTATTTCTTTTCCAAGATACCAGTGTCAAGTAAGTCCTAACCTTGCATGGCTGCTTCTAGGACAAAACAAATTCCTTTTCCAATTGTTTCTTGGAATTCAAGTGAGTGCAATTTGGGTATCAGTAAAAAAAAAAAAAAATTCCACACTAGATAATAAAGGATATTGTGGGACTTATATAAAGTAGAAGAACTAACGCAATTGATGTCAAGATTTTGAGTTTAGATATTATTTAGATCTATTGATGTAATTTTCTTTGTCTATTGACTCTCCTTGATGTCCCAACAAATAACATCAATGTTGATGACTCGGATAGCATATGGCCTGGTTTTTTTTTTGGTACATTGACTCTCCTTGATGTCCCAACAAATAACATCAATGTTGATGACTCGGATAGCATATGGCCTGGTTTAGGTGATGGTTGGTTACGTGGGGATCAAGATGTAACTGGTTAACGCATTGATAAATAACTGACATGATGGGGAAATATGTAACCTGAAGCACGGGCACGCGATTTGTAAAAAAATTTGTATGTTGGGACATTGACACGCTCCGACACGTTTCGACATACGTATGACATGTGGTCAATATTTTGGGATATGCGGTCAACTATCCGACATGTTCCGGCACGTTTTTTCGGCACGCAATCAACTTTTTTTGACACGCGATCAACAATCTGACACATTTTTTTAGTCTTAATTTTATTTTATTAACTAAATATAAAAATAATAATTTATAAATCAATTTTTTTCTGTTATGAAATTTGATATGAAAAATTAACAAAGTACGAAAAATTATTTTTGTTTATATTTATATTATGAAATTTGAATCTTTGATTGATTATATGACTTATTATGGACTGTTATATGTATTAAATTTAAATTATATTATATATATTAAAATTTTTATTTAAATATCAAAACATATCCCAACATGTTGAAATATGATATTTTTTTGAATTAACATGTCCGCGTGTCGTGTTCCTTATCAATGTCGGTGCATCATATGTAACTGTCCCATGTTTGATTGGCTACACAAAAGAGAATAAATCTTTGGTGCTACTGTTGCACCAAAGATTCAGTACATCTCACCAATAGAAATATTACATGTCAGTTAAAGATTTTTTTTTTTCTGCCAAATTTTTTCTCTCTCCACAAAAGACTTGCACAATTGCCACTTGGATTGGCTCTATGGAGTATGGACAAAATAATTATTGTGCCAACAGCGAAAGGATATGTTCATTTCTATATATCTCAATTCAATTATTCATCATTGATCCACTTGTATATTTCTTTTTTGCCTCACATTGATGTTAAATAATTTTTATTTCTTTCTTTAATTTAAAAGTTTAAAAGGTTACGTGAAAACCACATTAATACTTAAATACTTATATTTCTCTAACACTTTTCTTACTTTCTGTTCGGTAGGTCCTAATCTCAATTTCTTCGAACCTCCACTTTGTTATAAAAATCGGATTGACTTGTCGAGTCATATAATCGGTCCAATTTTCATATTGAACCCACCATATAATGGAAATGATGTAACCCGTAAAAATCGGTGACTCGACTCAGTTCACAAAAAAAAAAATAGTTTGTTCTCATCGATTAATGTCATTCTTTTTTCACTCTCACACACATATTGTTTGTTTTCTTTTGAAATATTTGAGTGGTCTATTGTTTATTGAGTTACATAGATTATATACCTACAACACTAATTATTATTTTGGTATGTAATATGCAGTGAATCAGTATCACAAGTATTAACCAAATGGGTGCAGCTCAGTTGGTTCATTGGCGCTGAGTTAGTGGGGTTGGACATGTGTTCGATTCCCGCTGAATGCATTCTTGGGGAGGGGGCTGAACCTTTAGCCATCACTGACCCCCGCACTCCGGATTAGTCCCATAGCCGGCTCAAAGAGTCGAAGCTTGTGGGGATACCGGAGGGAGCCAACTCGCCTCAAAGAGGTAATTAGGGTTGGGTAACTCCAAAAAAAAAGTATCACAAGTATTATATGTTTGATTGATCTTTTGTTAGATAATGATATTTAGTTTATTATTTTTCATATTAAAATATTTGGAATTGATATCAATTTTTTACAGGTATTTGAATATATTTATAATTTTTTAATCTAAATTGCAGATTTATATATACTTATCCGATTATGCAGTTAAACCAATGATCCAATATCTCGACCGAACCAATAATCGGATTTAATAACATTATATCCACTCAATTTGTCATTCGCTTTGGACACATCCATCATTTGTCAAACACCGGAAAGTATATAATGGCCTGATAGAGAAAGATGGAATGTTGTTGGGCCGGGTCTTGTGAAGCCTATTAGTATTGACTGGCCGAATTGGACAACTATCTATGGTATTAATGGCAAATGTGATCCAACCAAGGTTCGTAAACATGCTGAAAAGTAGGGCTGTGCATGGGTCAGGTCGGATCAGGTTTTTGTCCGACTCGACCCAACTTGGTTTTTATAGGTCAGGTATTTTGACCCGACCCGCTTTAATTTGATCTAAGTCAGGTGTGACTTGGATTGGATTTTGTTGAACTAGTTCAGAACCAGTTTGGATCTGACCTGACTTGGTTTCTGAAGTGGGTCTGACTTAGTTTCTGAACTGGGTCAAATCTGACCTAACCCGTTTTTGACTTGGTTTTCTCACAAAATTTTGTCGAAATTTTTACGTTGCAAAAGACGAAAATTTCGTCACAAAATTATTTTTTCGTCGAAATTCTTACAAAAAAAAATTCTATTAAAATTTAGTTTCCGTCAACAGTTTTGACGAAAATGATTTCTTCCATCAAATGTTTTAAACGAAAAAAGAATTTTGTCAAAAAATTTGACGGAATGTTTTTCGTTCAAAATTTCGATGGGAATGTGTTCTGACGAAAATTTTGACGGAAATTATTTCGAGGGAGATGTTTCATTTGAAACTTTCGACGAAATTTAGATTCTCTAAAGAATTTTGACAGAATATTTTTTTCGTCAAAATGTTTTTTTTTTAAAAAAAATTTACGGAATTTTTTTATAGAAATGTGTTTCATTGAAAATTTTGATGGAAATTTTTTATCAAAAAACTTGACGAAAATATTTAGTTGAAAATTTTCGATGGAAATGTGTTTCGCTAAAAATATAACGAAAATTTTTTCGTCGAAAACTTTCGCCGAAATTTGAAAAATGTAAAGAATTTTGATGAATTTTTTTACCGTCGAAATTTTTTGCCGTCAAAATTTTTTGATGACGAAAATGTTTTCGTCGAAAACTTTAGCCAAAATTTGAAATCTGTAAAGAGTTTTGATGAAATTTTTTGCCGTCAAAATTTTTTGACGACGAAAATATTTCCGTCGAAAACTTTCGCCAAAATTTGAATATGTAAAGAATTTTGATGAATTTTTTTGCCGTCGAAATTTTTTGCCGTCAAAATTTTTTGATGACGAAAAATATTTTCGTCGAAAACTTTCGCCGAAATTTGAAATCTGTAAAGAATATT